GCTACCGACATGAGAATTACTTCTCAGCCAGACTGATAAAGGGACTGATGGTTATCAAAAGTATGAGCAGATTCGGTTTTCGAGAAAAATGAAGCTTTCACCCATTTCTCTTCCTTTCCATTGGGAGAGCCCTAAAAAGTGGGGAAAGATTTTGGCACTGGAATAGACTATATAAAGAGGCTTCATGTGAAAGTCAAACACTTGCTGGAATCCTTGTGTGGTAACTATAAACTTTCTTTCTGATAAATACAACTAATCATAACTTTTAAGGTTTGTTCTTTGGATTAAGACAGGGTTTCTCAGCCTCAGCAGGTTTAAGATGTGTGGACTTCAACTCCATATATCTTAAACCTGCTGAGGTTGAGAAACTCTGGATTAAGAGTTTGTTTCTAGAATTGTGAAGTAGGTCTGACATTGTCTTGGCTAGTGCTGAAGGAAATTGAAGACTATATATTATACACCCATCCAATAGTGAATCTCCTGAGAAACACAACTGAACACTAATTCTCATCATAACCACCTAGTGACAACATTAAGGAACAGACTACCCCACAGCCTATCCAGCTATTGTTGGAGGACACTGCTGGACATCAAAAAAATTAACTCAAGTGCTCTGAGCACCCGGAGAATGAACCTTTCCTGATCTTGTTTTGAAATACATACAATTGGTAGAAGGTCCAGAAGCTGGAAGCAAGATGGATCTAATGATCTAATGCATCTGATGAAGCATACATCTGATGAAGTGAGCTGCGGCTTGCAAAAATGTATTGCTTTTAATAAACTTTCTTAGCCTGAAAAGGTGCTACCAGACTCTTGATTTTTGACCACCATGAGCATGACTACACAAAAATCAAGCAAGGAGTTTCCTAAGAAGGATGCCAGAAAGAGTTGGGATGAAGAGTCCAAACCACCTGGGAATGGTACTACCCACCCCAGAGTACAATCGAACTGGAGTTAAAGAATCCCATTGGCTGACAGTTGAGGATTCTTGTTGATAGGTTGGTGCAGAGGCTGGTGTGCATTGGATAGAATGATTTGCACTGTTCTCAGTAGCCATGATGTCAAATCCAAACAAATAATCACAGAGAACTTTATTTACACATCCCTTCAGGCTGAACTGCATAGGTAATCCCTCTGTGGAGAAAAAGAAAGATGGTGAATGCCTAGACTGGATGAATTGAAGCCCATTCCTCTTTTCCCTCTCTGAATATTTTTCATGGCAGAGCTAGCTGACCTGAGACCCTCCTGGTATGTTGGGCTGCAGTGCCCATAATCCCCAATCTTCAGCCTTTCAGATTGGAGGAGTATGGCAATTGTAATGTAAAATACTAGGAGGGTATCTTTGTCTGCAGTTATCTCAGTGGAACAGAGATCATGAAGAAATTAGATTCAACTAACGGAAGAAGGTAAGATAGAACCTAGAAGAAATTATGCTGGATTTTCTCAAGAAAGCTGGGAGAGGATGTGAGGATATGGGTGTGAAATTCCAGGGAGGGAGGGAGGGAGGGAGGGATGTCATCATTACTCCTATCATCTGGGGGAATGTAGCGCACAGCATGCCATTTTTGTGCAGTCCACAACAAAAATGTGCCTCTCTGGTTTATGGCTTAGCATGTTGTATGAACACAACCAATTGTGGTTTATCCAATTCGCCATTACTAAACAAACCAGAGAGCCAGTTTGGTGTAGTGGTCAAAGCAGCAGGCAAGAAACTGGGAGACTGTGAGTTCTAGTCCCGTCTTGGACATGAAGCCATCTGGGTGACCTTGGGCCAATCTCTTTCTCTCTCAGCCCTAGGAAGGAGGCAAGGGCAAACCACCTCTGAAATCCTGCCAAGAAAACTGCAGGGACTAGTCCAGGCACTTGCCAGGACTCAACACTGAGAGAGCCAGTTTGGTGTAGTGGTGAAGGCACCAGGCTAGAAACCAGGAGATGGTGAGTTCTAGTCCTGCCTTAGGCATAAAGCCAGCTGGGTGACCTTGGGCCAGTCACACCCTCTTAGCCCCAGGAAGAAGGTAATGGCAAACCACTTCTGAACAACCTTGCCAAGACAAGCAGGGTCATTTTATCACGCTTGGTGGGTGTTTAAAAAAGCTAGAAAATGTTGGGCTCAATTGCACACAGTGATTCAGAGGATTTTAAAGACATTCAGCTGAAATCAGTACTTTTCCTA